TACTAATTATAGATACGATAATGATGGTCACACTAAAATCGAATGAGATGAAACAATTATACTAGCAGTACTTCCATTCGCGGCGTTTGTTTATAAAGATGAAAGAAGAGAGAAAATTAATAATAGCAATAAACAACAAATATTATCCATAATAATTTCAATCAGTCAATCAGAATAAACAGCACCAATGAAGAACAAAGATAATACTATTCATGCCTCACCGACTGATATTCAAGAAACAAAACAATGCCATACCAATAAAACAACTGATATTCACTCTTGTTTTGAAATCGAATAGTGACGTATGATGGAACTGAACTGGGTGGATGGGTGAATGGAACTGGAAGATAACAGAATATATTGGGGACGTATTGGTGAAAAGGATGGATTTAATATATCAACTATCTGAGAGGAGTGGATTTCGGTTGCGTTTATAACCCGACTCAACGAGCCTCACTCTTCGCAGACGCCAACACCGACGCAGCTTCAGAAACTTTCGATCTGAACAGATCTGGATTCTCGAGCATCATCAACAACTCCGAATTGTCCATTTCAAGCATCATACCGGTGATCTTGCCCACATCTGGACCTTGATAGATTCGTTCGATGAGCGGGTAGATTCGCTCACCTAACATTTGCTTTTGTTCCTGAAACATAACAACAACTCAAATCAATTAACAAAACAATGAATAATCAAATAATAACAATCAATTAAACAAACAAAATTAATGAATAAACGAAACAAACCTGAGGTAATGCTTGCGCAAGCATATGAGTGGTGAGCGGCTCCTGACCTTGCACCACAATACCGCCTTGTTGAGGCTGAACTTGAGCAGGACGAGCTGCTGTGATGGCACCATACGTTTGATAGAGCATTTGCTGATTTTGCGATCCCTTCGCGGACTGCCCTTGTCTAGCACCCTTTAAATACAACAATGCATATGTGATTCAAATGATGTTCTTAAAGATGGCATAAAGCCGAAACGTCCAACATCGATGTATCATTCTGAATTGCGCAGGTGATATGTTTTTGCCAATACTAATATACATACCGTTCTGAGTCATCTACCTCCAAGCACCTCATAAACACGAGGAAAGTTTCAAGCAATGCCTACGCAAAAGCAAACAACCATCAT